GTAGACGTTTTAAATACAAAAATGTGTTTCAGAATATTCTGTTCATATAACATTATGTAATATTTTCAAGTACTTCTCTTAGAGGTGTCTGGTGTTTTTTGACATAAAGACAAATATTTCCAAGAAGGAAGTAAGCTTGGAGGAAGGAAGGAAGGAAGCTTGCAAATGAAACACACTTAATTAGAAAGCAGTTACTCTTTGAGTAATCAGAATTCCTTGAGGATAGTTACAGCTTTTAGATAGCTTTAGGTACAGTCTGGCTTGTTATAAAACCTCAAGCAGCAGCTGCTTTGTGAAGCATCCCTGGTTCTGTCTGCCTGAGCTATGTGGATTCCTAGTGACAGATTAGCTCTTGAAGCTGTAAACATAGGTCTTCATTTTTTTTGGAGGAATTTCTGGAAATGCATTTTCTTGCAACCTTTGGTCTCTTGTGATCGATGTGATGATGAGCCTTAATAGACCGAACACCTTCCTGTGGTGGTTGTGGTGTTATCTATACTTCCTGACTTCCAAGCCGGCTTTGCTGGCAAGTGGATGTTATTTTAGCTGTAGTTTCATAAACTGACATTGTGATTTGTAGGTCACTTGGACAGGAATTGCCACTTCTCTGAAATTGAGAGATTTGTTGTATATGTCATTTTATAATGACATATCCCAGTGTTCATTTTGGGGCAGATCTTGTGACATATGAAATTAGATTAGTTTTTAAGATTTCTCTCTTGCTTAGAATAAGTAGTGATACCTGTTTTGCATGAAAGGCTGATACTACTTCACAAATGGTTAGTCACAGTTTTGTCTTAAAACTTAACACTTTTTCTACTTTGTCCATATAAGGTTTTATTTTAGGGTTGTTAATAGCTTTTCATAGACACTGAATGAAGCATCAATTTACGGATCAAGCATAAAGTGTGCCTTAGTGCTTTCTTTTCAAAATGGCTGCAGGATGTGAAGAATAATAGAAGTCCCATCTGATTTGGAGATTAAATGGGGTGATCTTGTGGTATATTAGTTTTATAAGTCCGTCTTTACAGAAATAATGAGAGTATTTTAGAGTTTTTTTCCTCTTCAAGGTAATTTATTTTCTTTAAGTTAAGGACTGTCACCAGCAGCATCCTAAATTGACCATGTTGTTTTTACTCAGTAGTATTATCATCTATTTTGATCTTTTGCCACTAAACCATGAGAATAATCTGGCAAACTTCTAAAGTAGTTTCTTTCTCTGGCTCCCTTGCCCCTTCACTTAGTGATCCACAGTAACTACGTAGTGTAGATAGAAAGTGTTGATTTGGCTGATTTTTTTTGTGTTTTTTTTTAATAAAAGAATCTGAACTGACTAGCTGTTTCAGTGTTCGTTCAGCATCGTTCAGCTTTTGTCTTAGATACATAAACACTGTACCAGTTGCTTGGGTGAGCTGTGCATAGTGACTGAAAGAAACTGAGTTTTCTGTTGTCTAGGCTAACAGCTTAGTCTGACTTAAAATCATTAATGATGAACAATTAGTGTTTAGCATTACTGTTGAATGATGGCACTATCTTTTAAGTTTGATGTAGCTTATATGCAGGGTTTCTGCACTGGTTTTGCCTGAGCATTTTTACACACTCAGATAAGAAAACAGCAGTTTGCGTAGGAGTATCTTCCTCATTGTAATATGCTTGTTTTGTTAGTTTTAAATCCCACCATTTATTTTGTTTTTACATTTATTTTATGGCTTTCATATAGGCAAGATTGATGGAAGTGTCTATTGTAACTCTGGATCTTTCCCCTAGAACTAAATTTCAATTAAGAATCAGTCTTGTAAAAAGCCAGAAACACTAATGTTTTTTAAAATAGCACACATTTGAAGGGATTGTAATATCCCCTTTGTGGGTTTGGAGGTGTTTAGCTTCAGTCTTCTTCAGACTACATTGATCAGCAGGGGGTGGGGGTAAGTAAAATACATCAGAACAGCTTAAAGCAGGTATATGCTGAATTATGGCATGGTTTTGACATTATGGTTTCAGCTGCTTGGTTCCCATACTGTATGTGGGCAGGCTTCCTACTTAACTTTCCTTTGCAGGTGGTGGAGAATGAAGCTCTGTTCTCCTGCCTTTCAGGAGCTGACTGGTGGAATATAGTGTGATTTGCTCCCTCAATACAATTGTTGAACTTTCCAAAGTGCAAAGTAGTAGAGAGCTACAAAGTAGTAGAAGAGAACTTCAGTCTCCTATGTGTGAATGAATTTGCTTGGAACAACTGAAATGTTGTTTTTCAAGTCTGGAAAACAGTTTAATATAGAAATGGCATTTATACAAAAAGTTAGTAATTTTAATTTCCAGTGAAAAAAATCACACTTTTGGACAAAACGTGTGATAATTATATATTATTGTTTACTTATTATGTTGGTTATTGCTTTTTATTTATTTACTCTTTCAGTTGTTTTTCTGTATATTTTTAATAACCTGAGCCATACTTAATAACTGCTGGTGAGAAAATCAGTGAATAATTTTGTGGATATATTGTTTTGACTTTAATGACCCAAAAGAAAACCAGTAGCTTTGTAATGATGTAATAGTTCAGATGACCCTGCTGTTATTCTAAGGTAGCATGAATCATGAGAGCAAATGGGAGAGAAATGAAACAAAATTTTTCAAACTTCTTTTTTTTTTACACCTGTTTCATTCTTTCCCATTCACTGTGAAAGTTGCTTCTGCTGTTGTTTTGCAGCTTTTGTCAATTAGCCGTGAAGCAGAGCTCCTGCATCTTTCCACCCAGCTTGCAGTTGCCCTCAGGCTTCTGATGAATTTCAGATCTTCTGCAACTCAAATTATTCTGATTAAATAATTTAAATGGGTCTTTCTTGAAATAACAGATCCTAAAGGCTATCCATAGTAGAGCACAATAAGCTTTGGTTAACAAACAGTATTCTGGTAAGTGTTAGCATAAGTCAAATCATTTAAGTATGTTTTATGTTCTAAAGTATGTTTTATGGTTTTATTTAGTTATTTAGACTAAAAGAAGATACTCTTTAGAGTTTGGTTGAATTCACCATGCAAATTTATAAAAATTTGTTAAACTAGTCAGGATTTTTTTAAAATATAGAAATTCATGTGTGGGTAGGCACCTTATTTTTCAGATAGTGGACACTTCCAAAATAGGCAAGAATCAATTGATACAGTTATTTTACTGTACTCTTCTAATAAAAATCCAAGTACACATTGCATTTTAAGTAGTATAGTGGTTCTTATATCCAGCCCATTGAGAGTATTTAAGTAGAACATAGAAAAAATTAATAACCTTTTGGTTCACAATGCCATATAGCTGCAAATTACTTGTTATTTAGTCAAACAACAAACCAACAAACTTTAATGACAAACAAATGCTTGTTAACATATTTGTCAAGTCTTTCAATCAGCAGTGTTCCTACTATAAATCTTCTATATTGGAAATTTTGGTGGTTTTTGAGTAATGAACTCACAAGTATAAAAACAAAGAAAAATACTGCTGGATGATTCTGATGGGTTTTTACTTTAGTTCTAACTGAAAGATACCTGGGTTGGCAAACACTATGAAGACGGCTATAAATTATTGAGATCTGCTTTCATATAGTTGTTCCTGTGAATAGAGATTTTTCTTTACACTGTTTATCTTGATTTGTAAAGAAAAAATGGGTTAGTTGTGTTGATGTGTAAAGAATGAGGTTCTGGCTTGATAGTGATCCATGCTTAAATGTGTGTCTAGTTTTACTTACATATGTGAAATGCTTTGTGTCCTTCTGTTACTATTGTAAAGTAAATTACATGCAATCAAAGCAAAGTTGTGTTAACTGTCACAAATTGCAGCTTCATCTTCTTCTGATAATATAGTAAGTGTAGCTTAATAATTTTCCTGTCTAGGGAATACTGTGGAATTTCCTTAAAACTTTTAGTGAGTTTCGTTTTATGGGGTAAAGCTCAGAATACTAGTTCCCAAAGAAGTTTGTCAGGTTAGTGGAAAATAAGACTTCAGAAACAGTGTTAACTGCAAGCCATCTCATCTCAAGTTTTAGTAAAGCTAGAGAACATATGTTTAGTTTCTAGGTGTAAGGATAGTATAAAGTCCGTTTCTAGAAGTCAGTTTGTGAACTAAATGCCTTATTTTACTAAGCCAATCTACCAGTTCCTGTAAAGATGCCTAAATGTAGCTAAAAATAATATAGGTCCTATGCTTAGTACATAAAGGTCACTTGCTTTTCGTAGTTTAGGACTGCTTTAAAACTGTAGCTTGAGAAAATCAGAACAGATTTAGTGTCTTCAGAACAACAGTGTGGAAGCTACTGTGTGAATACTTCAGTTTCTCCAGGGTGTTTTCTAGAAATGTCAAAACTCGAGAACAGAGTAGGCTCTGTTGCCATACAGAAATAAATACAGTGTTATAAAATGTACTGCAGCTTTTGCAAGCTCCCTTGTAACGTTTTGAAGAATTAGTTTGTGCTTTTTCTATAGCAGACAACAATTCTTGATATGGAAGCACTGTGCTTTGTAATTCCTGAATGTATTTTAAATCACTTGTGTGAGTGAGACACATGGTTTTGTGGTCAGTTGTTCTGAACCTTGTGTGAAGCTTTTGTGTCGGTGCCCTTGAAAGTTAGCTAAGTGTGATAACCATAATCATATTCATAGGGGGTTATCTTTTAAAATCTGAACCACAATGTTATACCCTGTATTCTAACTGAATCTCCCACAGAGTTACCAGTGAAGTTGTTTTCGTATACAGTGTGAAAACCTAAAGCTGATAAATTTCTTAAACTTGCAATTAAAGCAGCTTTAAACACTCTTTTTTTTAAGTAAACATTTGATTTTGTTTTAGCAGTGAGGAAACTCGAAACAATATGCCCATTCTAATGAGAGAAGATACAAATGCTACAAAGGAAAATAAATGTGTATATGTGAGAAATTATCTTAGAGCAACTACAAATCTGATTATGACATTGATCTAAAGTAAAGAGTAATAGTTTAAATTCAAAAATATATATCTTTCTCTTGTTACAGAAATCCTGTGCAGCATGTTTTCTAGGTGGAACTGGGTGGCCTGTGGCTTCTATCTGGTGTTGAACATTTGTTCTCCTGACGGTAAGGGTTCTGTGTCTCAAATACAAGAGAATATAGAACTAGTTACATTGGATGTGTGAAGCACCAGCTTTCTTTTTGTCTTGATGCTTGTTGGATGAGGTCAGAAGGCAAGGTGTATTAGGATAAACACACCTAATCTTCTAACACTACTTCACCACAACAGAGGTGCGCACTTACCTCGATTTTCCTATGGTTACTTTCTTAACAGAAAATGCTTTTTTATCAAAATAGTAACTTCAAGTATAATTACTTTCTCCTTCAAAAGATACAAACACTCAGCCCTTGACCCCCTACTGTTCTCTTTTTTGAGTGCCTGTGTTTGTTAGTAGAGCTTTCCTAGGTTGGCAAAATGCTTCTGTAATAGCAAAGCCTAGAGAATGCTGTACTGGTTTTTGCCCTTAAATCTTCTTGGTGTCTTGGTAGTCTACCAATGCGTTTCAGGTTTGTAATTGTCAAGTGACTATTTAACTTGCTGATTAAATACATGTAGTGTTTTTAACATTGCACTAGTGATGTAGTAGCAATATTGATTAGGGAATGTTTTGTAGCTCTTAATAAATATGAAATTTGTTTTCTTTTTAGCTTCAGGTGGTCTTGTGCAGTCATGTGGTCACATCATTCCGGAGTCACCTGTACTGGCCCTTGGTTCCAATTTCACAGCATTATGCATTCTGAATGAGAGTTGTCTTGACTTTGGCAATATCTATGCCAGTCAGATTATCTGGAAGATTAAAAATAGACTGGTACCTAAAGAACAGTATCGTGAAATAAACAGAACAGTTTCCAGTGTCACATTCAATGACACTTCTACACTGGCTACCCCTCTGACATGCAACATTTTAGCAGATGGACAGATTGAACAGAACATTTATGGAATTACTGTTACAGTAGGCTGTGAGTACCATTTTTTTATATTTTATTCTGGTCTTAAGAAAATTGTTTCTGAGAAATGGGAAAATGCAAACAATAGAATGTGTGCATATCTTGAGGCACTTATTTTTATTCCCTCGGTTCCTGGATAAGTGAGTAAAAATATTGACAAATTATGTGCCACCACAGCTGCTCAGTATGCACTGAATAAAGTTTTCTAAAAAGTAGAAAATACTCTGGAGTATTTCACTGTTGGAATAGAAAAAAATGGAACAACAAAAATGGCAGATTTTAATTACAGAATAAAGATGTGAATTTAACTGAAATAGAAAGCAGGAAATTAACTTTTCCTTACTTCTTGATTCTGTATCAGAGTTGGAGGTAGGTAGATTTTAGGTGATATGTCCTGGTATTATACTAACATTTTGAAAATGTTTTCCTCTTTAATGGGCTGAGAAACATTTAGTTCATCTGTATCACTAAAGCTAACCTGAATTGCCTTAAAGATAGAACATACTATTTTGATTACTTTACCTCTATACCTAGAAAATGCTTTTAACTACTAATAAATTTCATTTGTTCTAGAATGATAGCACTAGCGTGGTGGAGACCAAGTGCTTTTAGACAAGACTGTTTTGAGAAAGTCACGTGAATAATTTAATATGCTACTTCTTAATTACTTGGTGTCCTGCTAATGGGACAAGTGTTGTAGTGTCCTAAATATCGCATGATATGCCTGGTGAATTATGTTGTCTCCTAGTGATTGCAAAAGGTACTCCAGTTGCTGAATGGTCTGCATGCAAAAGGCCAGCTTGGGTTCACAATTTAAAATTGTGTGCTTCTGATATGACTTACAAAATGTTATCACGGGAAATTGTTTTCCATTTCAACTTCTGTGGAATAAATATTGTTGTACCAGAAAAGATAAAATAAAAAATATTTCTGCAAGGTAAAATATATGGAAAGGTGAGAACAGATAAATTACTCTATTATAAATGTAATGACAGTACAGATGACATTCTGCATTTTTAATTCATATTTTAAGTCTTGAGATGCATTTTTATTTAAAGCTATTGTATTTTGATACTGTCAATTAAAGAAAAACTAAATAATGAGACTAGCAACAGATTTGAGAAGAATACAGCTATTCAGGAAGAAAGCAATAAGGTTATTCTATTGAAACTAGCACTCTGCTTGAAAGCAAGTAAGATTCTCTAAGTACATTATTTACTGTTGTAAATAGTGATAATATAGGGGGTAGGAGCAAATGCTTTGTATGTTATATGTTTGAGTTTAAGAGGGAAAGAAAATAGTTTTGCTGCATTCTGAAGAAGTTTCTTATGCACTACAGTGCATTGATGAAGATCCCTTTCTTGCATGGGTTTGCAACAAAAGCTTCATCCATACTGCAGCTGGGAGAGAACAGAATTATGAAATTGCCTTCAGAGCTCAGGTCACTGGCAGTCAACATGTGCCAATTCAGTACTGGTTTTCAATTTATTTTTCTTCTGTGTGAATTAAAATGTATTTATATGAGAAATGTTTAATACAAGGTTTTCTGCCTCAGAATGAGAAATCTTTTTTGTTCCTTACTAGCAGATGCTTAATCCTTACACAGCCTACTGTTTGTCAAAGCAGCTATTTAAGCTTCTTGACTTCAATTGCAGGATGGTATCCAGCACTTTTTTGCCACATTCTTTAGGAAAAAAGTAATTAATTAAATGCTTCTGATGTTCACCAAAATTGCTCTAGTGGGCCTTTAAAAGGATTCTTGCTGGGTTGAAATGTTAGATTAATTATTGCTAACTCTTTCTGTACAGTGGCCCCAGAGAAGCCCAAAAACTTAAGCTGCATTGTGCATCAGGTATCAAGATTCACATATATTATGACTTGTACCTGGAACCCTGGAAGGCACACATTCCTAGATACTCAGTTCAGGTTGAGATACAGCTGGTAAGTAGCGCTCTATAAAATATCTAAATAATTCTGAAGAATATTTTTATGCTAAACCAACAGTCCTTGAAATTCATGATTCTTTGGAAGAGCTCTTAACATAAGTCCAGTTTTCTGAAGCATTGCTGTCTGTCTGGTAGGTGGGAGAAGGGAAGAGTTAAAGAAGTTAACAAATTCAAGTAATTCCAAGTCAGATTTGAAGTTTTGTTGTTGAACTTGTTCTGGAGTAACAGTAATCCATATTTTTTTATTCTTCAAATACATGATTAGTGTGTCTTGAGTACAATACATCTAATAATAGGGGGCTGTACCCAAGCTTCTATGCTTTTCTGGGTTGACACTTCTATCCCATTCTAAACAAGCAGATGATGTTCCTGCTCTTTGCAGGAGGACCAGACAACATGACTTTTAAAGGTCCATTTCAATCCAAACCCATTCTGTGATTCTAAGTAGGGAAACTACTGAAATGACTGAATTTTGTAAAGGTATTACCTATCTGCAGTTCATAGGAACTGTGTACAAACACTATTCTGAGTTAATCCTAACATGAAAGCTTCAATGAAGTATTTTTCCTGTGAAAGCAAATTAAGTTACTTTCCAGACTCGCTGTATGGTCTCTCATAGTTTAAAAAGGAGTGAACAGGATTGTTGCATTAATCTGGAAACAGGAGTGATTGCCTACAGCTTTCCTGCTACCCCATTCTGCTGAAGTGTTTTGGTAACAGGTGTAGTTGAAGGCTTGTGCAGATAGAAAATGTTAATGCCTTGCAAATTTCCTGATACCCAACTATCTAGTGTTAGTGTAGAAGAAGATGGTGAATAGAAATTAGGTATCACACCTCTAACTGTACTCTTGAAAGGTGTGTGGGTAGCACTGACTACATTTTCTATTGCATTTTAGTTACTGACCATGTTGCTTTTGATTAGTTGTATCAGTTCTTGTTCTTCTTAAGCCAGGTCAAGTTTTTATACAGATTTAATTACAGTGCTCTAGCTTGTGCTTTTGAAAATATGTGACTGGAAGTCAAGAGATTATGTTTTGGTTTCAGTTTTAAAGCAATCACGCATTTGTGGCTGAACAAGCCATTCCCACTTTTTCTTCCCCTCCCTTTGCTTACAAAGTTAAGGCAGAAGGGAGACATACAAGATAAACTGTTTGCTCACTCTGATCTACTTCAAAATATTCTCTAAAGGAAACCAAATTTACTGCTTTGTATCTTGGGTTTTTTTTTTCCTCTTTTATTTAGGCCAGAAGAGATGTTTCCTGATTGTATACCAAAAGATGTAAACAATTCTTGCACCGTTACTGATATTCAGTTCTTTGTTAACACGGAGATTTGGGTAGAAGCAACAAATGCACTTGGGAAGGCTGAATCTGATCCTCTTGTTGTTGATCCCATTGACATTGGTAACTATATGCCCCTTAAAGCTTTAACAATATTACTACTGCTGCTGTGCATATTGCTTAACTGGTATGCTCATGTTTCTTCACTATAAAAGTTACCACTGCATAGATGTTGTTCACTAGAGCTTGAACTGTGCTGGGCAAAGGTAGGGGTGGTGAGAGATTTCATCAGAGTTCAGACAGCAAGTTTGTGTTGAGCAGTCTGATTTAGAAGATAGTATAAAGTAGCAGCTATTTCAGGTCCTGAAAGGCTTTAATAGTAGTGCTGCAACACAGTGAGCCAGCTTCTAAAGGCATGTTAAAGAATAGCTGTGAAGTTGACTTTAACTTCTTCTCTTCTAGTTAAACCACTGTCTCCACAGAATGTATCAGTCAGCTCAGGAATACTACCTACTGTTCTGAAGCTTTCCTGGGAGAATTGGATTTCAGATGCTGTGATGACGCTGAAATTCAATATTCGCTACAAGATAGCTGGTGACACAAACTGGATGGAGGTAATACCACTAATACTTCTTGCCATGATTCTGCTATAACCCAGACATATGTGAAACTGGAACTCCCTCTGTTGCAGTTCAGGGCATTCACTTTCATTTTGTTATGGCCACTCCAGGAAGTTTATCTGGCCTGTTCATGGAGGTTGTGATCTAGGTATTTTTTGGCACAGTCCGAGTATGGTGACCTTTCCATATCTTCGTGGCCTTTTCTGCTGTCCTCCCTGTCACAGTGCAGTATGTTTATTTTAAGTTTTATTTGGCACATGCAGTGAATAGAACATTAATGAATTTTCATCTTTCCATGCATATGCAAAATGAGTGATCTAAATGTCTTTCAGAGCTGGGGTAAACACTGTTTCATGCTGGGATGCTTTTTAGAACATACTCTACCTGCAGCTGGGCTACAGTAGGTTCAGGCAGGGCCACAGGCTGGGACAGAATGGCTGGAACGCTGCCCAGTAGAAAAGGACCTGGGGGTGCTGGTGGCAGCAGCTGAACATGAGCCAGGCTGTGCCCAGGTGGCCAAACAGGCCAATGGCATCCTGGCCTGGCTCAGCAATAGTGTGGCCAGCAGGAGCAGTGACTGTCTACCTGTATTTGTCACTAGTGAAGCCACACCTTGAATTCTGGTTTTGGGCCCTTCACTCCATGAAGGACACTGAGGTGCTGAGCAGAGCATGTCCAGAGAATGGCAAGAGAGCTGTGGAAGAGTCTGGAGCACAAATCTTATGAGGAACAGCTGAGGAAGCTGGGGTTATCTAGCCTGGAGGAAAGAGGGGCTAGAGGTGACATTGTCACTGTACAGCTGTCTGAAAGAAGGTTGTAGTGAGGTCAGGGTCAGTCTGCTCTCCAAAATAACAAGCATTAGGATGAGAGGAAATAGCCTCAAGCCGTGCCAGGGACAGTTTATATTGGATATGAGGAAGACTTTCTTATGGAAAGAATTGCGTAGGATCAGCCCAGGGAAGCTGTAGAGTTACCATCTCTGGAAGTGTTAAGAAGAGGTCTAGATGTAGCACTCAGGGACGTGGTTCAGGAGTGGATTTAGCAGTGATAGGTGTATGATTAGATTCAATGGTCTCTTCCAGCCTAGATGATTGTGTAATTCTGTACAATCTGGCTGCCCTGTGTACGTGCCTCAAGTGTGAGGCCGAAGAACAGGAAAAGTGTAAGGAATAAGCCTACCTGTAATGTGCTATGATGCTGTCATCAAGAACTGTGGGGGTTTTCTTCTTTACATTAATTTGTGGACATATTTTTAATAGCCCCTTAGTCTTTCCCGTAGTTTAAGCCTTCTCTCAGAGCAGCAGTACTGCAGCAGAGGCCCAAATGTATTCTGAATTCTGTGAGTTCATGGAAGGAAGACTGCTTCTGATTTTACCAAAATACTCTTTGGAGCAAGTAGCTTAACACAGCTCCTTGTGACTAATGTGGCTTTAGATGTAGGAACAATTAAGGTCACCTCTACTGCTATTTTAAAAAGCAATGGCCTGCACAATCTAGTGTGCAACTCTAGGATCTCTGCATATGTTGTCCTGGTAGGACAATAGGACAAGTTCTTCTAACTTCTCTTGTCCTTTTAATATATGCACAAAATAAATGAAATAGTAACTTTAAAATCAGCTGAACTTGCTTAGCTGTGGTAGAATTTGACTAGATAATTCTTTGCCCTCAGGATTAGCCTCTTAAGTGTCCTGCATTTGTGTTTAATCTGGAGTCATTCCTTGCAGGGATTCTCACTGTAAAAAGCCCTTCATTGCAAGTGGAATAACCTCGGGAGTCAGTGTGTATACCTACCTGTGTCCACTATCTCCTCCACCTTGCTTCCTTACATACCTACTAAGAATACATTTCCGGCCTCTCACCTAAGAGAAATGAAAGAGCTTATGAAAATAATTTATTAACAAAACTATAAACTACTCTAAAACTATTTTCAGTTTCACTCAAGAAGCACTGTTCTGGATCAGTGGAAGCAATGAACCTGGACTTCCAGTAAACAATAATTTTGAAATCAATAATCAAGCAGGTAACATAGCAAGGTTCTGAGTTTTGAGGCAGGATACTACAGATCAGTAAGCAGCAGAATTATGTGGGAAGGAAGGAGAGAGATGCTAATTTTTAAAAAAAAATTTAAAATAATACTGTTCTGAGGTAGCTGCCTAACTGTTCTAGTGTATGTATGTTCTTATACCTGGTAAAAGACACAACTCTGACTGAGCCTTTACCAGTGTTTGAGAACTGAAGTTTTTGGAAAAGAGAGGGAAGGAAAGCTTGTTTGTGTTAGGGGGGTGTGTGTGTGGTGGGGAGCCTTCTTTGATGACTAGGTAGCACAGAACTCAGCTCTACAGTATTTTGATCAGTGCCTTTAAAATCTTTGTCACATTTGCAGGTTCCTTCTGAAGATACAGCTTCCCCAAGAACTTCATTCAGTGTCCAAGGTCTCAGACCCTACACAGAGTATGTCTTTTCCATTCGTTGCATGAAGGAAGATGGAGTGGGCTACTGGAGTGACTGGAGTAAAGAAAAGACTGGGATTACCACTGAAGATGGTAAGTAATGTATAAAAGTAGATCACTGACTTACAAAGTGTGTGAGTGCTCAGCAATTTGGTCATGGCCAGCTGAAATGGTGTATCCTTGCTTGAGCCGCTTGCTTGTATAAGCAACAAAGCTGTCCTGAGTTACTTTCAGCACTGACTTGGCCTGTGCATTCCAAGGAGCATAAGAAAAGCTTCCCATTAAGCTAGTGTAGAGGTGCTCCCTGAAACAGCTAGAACAGCAGCAGGGAAGAAGAGCCATCTTCACAGAAAACTGTCTTCTGGAGGAAATCTAGGCTTTATGCTTGGTTTTTTTATTTTGAAGATTATTCTCTGTAACAGAAGTTATCCTATAAGAGATTTTCTTAGTAGGCCAACTGCCTTACTTTATGAGCAACTTGATGTTTAGGAGGCTAGTAAAAGTCATAGGTGAGCAATTTTTTTTACTTTGAAATGGAATTTGTTCTGGAAATACCACTTTTTCATAGTACAGATGCCAAAACGTACTGTAGTATTGTAAAAAAGTACTGCATCTGTTACTCTTTTAGAATCAAGGAGTCTTACTGCCAGGAGAAATTTGTCTCCTTGTTGACTCTTGTGCACTTACCTTTTTTTAGGTAACTTGATATAGAGGGGTAGGAACTGTGGGTACAGACTGTAGCAAGGTTTGCAGGGTGCAGGTGTGCTGGGCTGGATGCAGGCTGTGCCGTGTAGATGTGATAATGCCTCACTCAGCATTGTCACCTTCAGTCTATCAAAAGAAATACAAGTCACAATGGTGGCCATCTTGTAGATGCCCACCATTGTGATTCATACTTCTTTTGATGCTGTACATTTAAAAGCAGAACAGGTGTCTTGCTCCTCTCTTCAGGAAATTTTCCACTTAATATGCCAAGCATAATTTTCATTGAGAAAGTAAGGAAATGCCTTTTAATATGTGTGGGTTTTTTTAAAGAAAGTTAGCACATAATGATAATCAAAGGATTAATTCAAACAGATTAAATAATACTGTAAAATAAATAAATAAAAATAAATAAAATACTGTCATGTATTGTCTGTTTCCTCAGAACCATCTAAAGGACCACCCCTATGGAGGATCATTGATACCTCTCACTCACCAGCTTCCTGGACTGTGCATCTAATATGGAAGGTAAAACAAATTGCAAAACTGAGCATTCTTGTGCAAACATGAGATTTTTAAGTAGAAAAATCTACCCAACAGCCTTGAGAGATGGCTGAGATAGTATAGGAGGTTTTGATATGAGAAGTGACTTTAGTATTCTTATTATAATAATTAGTTATGAAAAATTAAATATACAGATGCAAAGGCTATCATTTAATTGACACTCATATGTGACCTAAAATACACAGACTGTACTTTCAGATCCCTCATTTGTTGTCCTGTGGATTTGGAACTGCCACTTGAACAAAGCATGGCTTCATGTCATGCCTTCTGCTGTAACCTAAAAAATGGCAACACTGTCTGGACAGTGATACCCCAGCTGCAAAATCCATTAAGTTTTGAGATACTGCAGAGACCAAGGTTGTTAAAAACAGCACTGGGCATTTGTGTGCAGTAAGGCTGCTGTGTCCAACTGGATGGTTTGTCCACCTGAGAAGAGGAATGTAATTAAGGTCACTCTCCAACTCCTGCTTTCTTTTGGTCCATAAACTGTGTCATATTTGTCATACTAACAGAACCAAAGGTGTGAGATTTATGTCATTGTGGTGTAAAGTTACATGAAATTGAGGTTTTATCAACAAGTTTTGCAGTCCTTACAGAATAGCTTTTATTAAATCATTAGGTATGATTAAAGAGAGTATTGAAAGAAAAAATAGTGTTTGGATGTGACTGCTTTATAGAAATGTGCACAGGTTATTTATGCTTTTCTTAAATGTAGGTATTTGATCTGTGGAACTTGCCTTGCTCTCATATCTTTTGATCGTTCCCTTAGGACAATAAGGGTTAAATCACATTCAATATCAGCTTAATCAAAGATGTGTTTCTGATAGGCACTGAAGCCATTTGAAGCCAATGGAGTAATCTTGCAATATGAAGTGACTGTCAGAGATAAATCATGTCTTTCCTGTCCAGTGAAGAAATACAATGTTACCAGCACCAACCATACCTTGCAGCTGCCTGAGGGAACTTATGAAGTGACTCTGATTGCCCGCAACAGTGTTGGGGCATCACCTCCATCAGTTTTACTTATCCCAGCAAGTAATTCTAAAGGTGGGTGTCCTAATAATGTCTCAGTCAAATAAATCTGCATGGCCCTTTTTATAAGAAATATTCAGTGTTATAAAATAGTACATATATTGTATATAATAGTACATATATGGACACATAATTAAAGGATTACTGAATTATCTACAGTTTCATGCCTTTTGTATATACTGCCATTTGTGTACCAGGGAACATGTGAATTTGTGTACTTATAGTGTCATTTGAAGCTCTTTGTGGTGTTCTGCTAATTTTTGATTCTTGGGGCATCTGTGTACTATATTCCCTGTTATTTCTTTTCTTGGCATAGCAGGCATTTTTCTGTCTTTCTAAAAAAAAAAAATATGAAAGAATCAAAGTGTTGGTACATATTTATGTATACATTCTGCCGTTGTTCCTCCTTTAATTTCCTGATCTCCCTCCTACTCCTTTCTTCACTTGTCCCAGTCTCATTCTCCCACATTTTCAGTATCTTACCTGGTTGTTTTGTTATCTGATTCCACTGTTTCCCTACTGTTAATGTTCTTTTTTTTGTTCATTATTGCACTAGTAGTAAGGACAAGCTGGTTTATCCTTATTTCCAGCATTTTCTTAAACAATCCAAACACTGCCAGGAGAGGAAGCAAAAAAAGTACATGGATAGGTGCAGATAAACACCGAGAGAGCCACTGGTTCTAAAACTATTAGATGAGTTAGTTAAAGGTATAATTAAAACAAAGTAATATTGGAGCCAGGAGGAAGTACTTAGTAAGGTATATATACATAGTATATAAGCATATAATATGTATTACAGAATGAGCTGAGTTGGACACATCTCAGAGTCCATCTTCTGGCCCTGCATGGAAGGGCAGGTCACACTGTGTGCTTGAGAGCATTGTCCAAATGCCTCTTGAACTCTGTTAGGCTTGGTGCTGTGACCATTTCCCTGGGGAGCTGTTCCAGTGCTCAGTCATCCCCTGGGTGAAGAACCTTTTCCTGATATCCAACCCAAACCTCCCCTGACACAACTCCAGGCCAGTGCCTTGGGTCCTGTCACTGGTCACACAGAGCAGAGATCAGTGCCTGCTCCTCCTCTTCCCCTGCTAAAGAAAGTGTAACTGCAATGAGGTCTCCCCTCAGTCTCCCCCAGGCTGAACAGAGCAGGTGACCTCAGCTGTTCTCATATGGCTTCCTATCAAGGCCCTTCTCTGTGTTTTTAACTCTCCTTTGGGTGCTCTCTAAGAGATCAGTAACTTCATTATATTGTGGCACCCAGAACTGCCCCCAGCAGTTGAGGTGAAGCCGCCCCAGAGCAGAGCAGGACAATCCCCTCCCTTGCCCAGCTGGTGATGCTGTCCCTGATGCCCCCAGGACACACTTGGCTGTCCTGGCTGCCAGGGCACTGCTGGCTCATGTTCAACTTGAACCCCAGAACCCTAGGGCCCTTTCCATGGCACTGCTCTCCAGCCTCTCATTCCCCAGTCTGTCTGTACAGCCAGGGCTGCCCCATCCCGGTGCAGAATTTGGCACCAGCCCCTGTGGACTTCATATAGCTGGTGATTGCCCATCATCTGTTGGGGTCTCTCTGCAGGGCCTCCCTCCCTTTGAAGTCAGCAGTTCCTCTCAGATTTGTATCATCTGGGAACTTGCTTAGTGTCCCTTCCCGTCCTGAGTCCAAGTCATGTGTGAAGATGTGAAAGCAGAGGGCTGAGGATGGAGCCCTGTGGAACTCCCTACTGACAGGTGTCCAGTCTGATACCACCCCATCCACTGTAACCCTTTGTGCCTGACCCATGAGCCAGTTCACACCCATCCCAGGATGTGTTTGCCCATTTCTGGGCTGGACATTATATATACACTATCTACTTACATATATATATATATATATATATATATATATACGTGCACACTGTACATAAAGTACTTAGTATCGTGCTTGAGTATAACTGATACATTTGTAAATTCCCATTCTAGGTCTAATTTCTCTCTTGAAATAAAACCTTTCTTTGCAAGAAAGAAACATAGTGTCTATGAGAATAGAGAAGTTTAGTCTAACTTCAGTTTTTAAATAGCCTGATACTGCTTTTGGATCTCTGATACAAAGATCCATGTGTAAATCTCCAAATTTCAGAAAACGGCATTTACACGTACTTCAGTTCTGTTAAATTGCTGCCATTACCTTAAGAGGTTCAACATTTTCCAGAAAAGCTCCTATCATGAAAGACCTGTCAATATTGATCACTTTTCTCTTTTCTTTCATTACAGCTCCTGTGAAGAATCTTAGAACAGTACCTAAACATGACAAGTTGTGGGTCGGGTGGACTGCTCCTAATAGTTATGTTCTTAAATATGTGATCGAATGGTGTCTGTTGTCCAGCAGCTCAGACTGCATCATAGATTGGCAGATTGCACTAGGAGATGTTCAAGGAATAGACTTAAAAGGTATTTAGCTCATAAATCTACATACAGTTTGTAGGACACTAAAAACTGCTTAGTATTCTGAAGATTAGAAACATCCTCACAATGATTAGAATTTTATGGCAGAATAGGAGTTTAATGCTGATGGTTTAAATTAGTTTATTGTGAGCCTTATGGAAGTATTTGTATGTTTTTGTCAAATATACAACTGTATTGATCTTGCATTTTATAATTTATATAATGTAACAACAAGAGGTTTATCTCCATTTTGATTTTGGTATTGTCATGCTTGGAAACCATTAAAATAGTGAAAAGGCTGAGTTCTTTCAAAGTCAAACTATTTGGTTACTCAATTCAAACAGTGAAATTTGATTAGCTTTATTGTTCTTCTGAGATTATGATCAGTATCTGAAATCAATAATTTGGGGAGTTAATGCTGCAGACAAGTAAGGGCTTTCTATTTCAAACAAATTAGAAAAAAACTCCCTGACTTCTCTGAAGTCTACTTATTAAATTTTACATTTGAATGTGAACCATTATATTGATCTTTTAGTTAGTATTTTGGAGCAGTATTGTTCCTTCAGTTCATATTTTGGAGCAGTGTATCAGTAAGGTCATTAGGTACAAGTGCACCTAGTTGAACAGCAGAAACTCAGAAACCTGTATCTGAAGGTAATGAGAAGAATGATAAGCAATTTGACTGTGAAACAACACCTTTTAAATTCCTTTTATTAGGTATAAAGCCTTTCAAGTGCTACTTGATAACTGTGTACCCTCTGTATGCTGATGGTCAGGGCAGTGGACAGTCTGTGAAGGCTTATCTTAAGCAAGATCGTAAGTATAAAATCATTGCCTTGAAGCACATACACTGACCGTTTTTGACAAAAAGTAAAGAAACCTTTGCTTTAATGTGGATTGTATAATGAAAAATGGTTTAGTACTTGAGGGTCAGGTGACATCATTGATTTTTTATTTCGTTTCTGTTATACATTCTGCTTTCTTACAGTGTTTTGGAACTAGACAGATGGCTGGCTCTGGCTGGCTCTTTGTTTTTCCAACCTTTATCAAATAATTAGATATGAATTTGTTATTTTTGTGATATGTTTATAATTATATATTATATAATTAAAATTTTTAATGGTGATATTTATATGCTGATATTTATTTTTCAAGTGTGAAATCAAGACTTAACTTCATTTGAAGGTTTCCTGCAATGCACTGATTTTTCTTTTAATATCTATTCCTGAATGTTTCTTTTTTAAAACATCTGTGTAACTTCTATGTTGTTTGAAAACAATACTTTCCAGATAAGTTAGTCAAACTATTCCATTGAAGTTTTTATGCTGAAACAGTTCAGTGCTTGTTAATATGCTGCTCTGTGAATGCAAGGTTGCCAAGCAGAAACTAATCATCATCTCCCATTACAGGTCCCTCAAAAGGACCCACTGTTCAGACAAAAAAAGTAGGAAAAGCTGAAGCTGTTTTGACATGGAACCATCTCACAGTTGAGGAACAAAATGGATTTATCCGAAATTACACCATACTGTACAAAACTATTGATGGAAATGAAACAGGTACCAGAAAACAGAAGTGTTTCGTGGCATTGAAGTGTTTCACCTGTTTCCTTCCTGATATTTGTTCCTGAAAAAATACACAGAATCAGTTATAGCTGACAACCTGTTCTGAGAACATAAAACTGGTGTCTGAGCCATAATTCTCCTCCATACAGAACAGAAAGTCCCTAGTGAAGAATTCAGAACATTCAGTCAGTATATAGTGAGGTACTGAGTTTAATTTCTGAAAGCTGATTTGTGAGTATTGTGCTCACATGTTGATATCTAAATACAGAATGAGATGTGGTATATCAAGGTGATGGTAGACCATCTGAGATTCAAAACGAGTTGGCTACATTTAACTATGATAAAACCTTAAGAAAAGGAAGTGGGGAGTAGATTTTAATCCTCCTGGATCAACATAGTACTGTTGTAGATCATCTTGTTTCAAGTGTGTTTTAGTTTTCAGTAGTGTGTATGACCTGCAGGCATACTGCAGGCAGCTGGCACTATCAAAACTTTAATTTTTAGGTTTGCTTAAATTGGAAGGGCCAGTAAGGGTTCTTATGCATACCTCTGTCTTACTGTTCCTTACCTTGTTTTTTTTCTAGTCAGTATTGGCAGTTCCTTGTTAGCACTATGTATTTGGCTTACTAGACAGACTTGAAGCTTCAATTCTACTAGTTTAGTTTGTAGGGGCATTCTGGGGATAAGAAGAATCTCACAGGCAATTAAATATAGAAGGAGGCTTAATTCAGACACCTAAATAGAAGCTAATGAATCTCAGCATTTCTTGTACAAATTTGTGTTCTTTGACTGTTGTATTTTCCGTATGCTGTGCATTCTGTTAAAACTACCTTTCACATCTGAATTCTTGATATCTTAATGTTGCTGTTTTAGTGGAGATGTAATTTGTTTGTAGAAAACTAGTCTAAATCTCTTATTCTTTTTAGTTGTGACAGTGGACCCTTCCAAGACAGAGTACACCCTTTCCTCTCTAACCAGTGACACACTGTATACTGTGCGGATGATGGCATCCACAGATAATGGAAGCAGGACTGGTCCTGATTTCACATTTACTACACAAAAATTTGGTAAGGCAGAGTGGCACAATGGGTAAAAGTAGGAATTAATGTTGCAACAATACAGTGGGGGTCTGTGAAAGATGTGTTCGAAGGGGAAGGTGCTTTTATTTTAAAGTTTCAGTTACAGTCAGCTTGTGATGTTCATAATACCTGGGTGGCTTGTTTAGTGCTACTTCAGGTAACTTAAAAGGTAATTTAGTCAGGATTTTTCTAATTGTATAGAGAACAAGATGTCCTCTGCAAATCTCATGAATCACACTTTGTGTTGTTTTGGATGTGTTTTATGTATACTACAGGTTATAATATTTTGCCATGACCTTTCATGAGTAATTAGGATTTACCCAGTTCCCTTGTCTCTTTGGTGTCCAGTGGCACCTACCCCCCAGTCAAGAGTCTTTGCTTTAATCCTGCTGAGGTATGTTGCAGAAGCTGTAGTGATGTCTGCTTATATCTTGATCAGCTGTTGTAGGTACCAGTAAGCATATGTCATCCTCAGAGCCCTTCCACGTTCTTTCATATCACTATCATATACAGTTCTTTATGGAGACTTATTTTGAGTAGTTAAATTTATTGTATGTTCAGCTTTTTTAGGGTATTTCTTATATGTGTAAGGGTAACAGCAACATTACTAACAGAATTTAATTGTGCAAGACACTTACTTAAATTTAGCAGAGGCTTTTTTCTGTATGGTGTTGCTCTTCCCTAAACCTTCTCCAAGGTTTACTTAAGAATGTGTGTTACACTGGAAGGAATACATAACAATAATGCAAACTTTGGTGTTTGCGGGCAGAGAAGATATTCATGTACAGAAAAAAACTGATGGATGAGTAGTAACTTTACTTATTTGACCATGACCATGTTATGACAGCCCCCAGGGCACTGAAACACCTGGGCAGCAGATGAATTGACAAAGATGTTACTGTCATACCTGCCCAAGCTGAAAAATTATTTGCTCTGTCAGTATTACACCTTCTAGACCAGCCCATGTTTTTTGTTGATGCAAGGCACTAGATTGTCAGGACAGAGCTTTTCATGTTTTCACCAAGAGGTGCTTTTCATACGGTGAAAAGGTTCTGAATGTGAAGATTTGAGACTGAGCAATGAGGTATTTCATTTTCAGGTTCTCCCTGTCCTTTTGGAAATACGTATTACTGTTGAGTTCCTTAAATGCCAAAATGGGCCATAACTGCTTTTTTTCACCTCCTTCAGGAAAAGGAGAAATTGAAGCGATAGTTGTACCTGTGTGTCTAGCATTCCTGTTGATTGTGCTTCTTGGAGTTCTGTTTTGCTTCAACAAACGTGACCTGTAAGTACAAATTAACTCTTCCTCTTATATTTCTGAGCATAACAGAAATGGCAGTAATTCATACCAACCCAGTTATGTATTCTTCAGTTAGAGCAGGAAAAAAGTTAAAACATGCATATATTGATGGGTGTTAAAAATGTCAGTGTTTTCCTTGAGAAACTAGGGCCTCTTCTGATACTAATTTCTTACTGTTAATTATACACATACTAATTGTTCTATGATTCAGTCCTTCAAGAAAATAAATGCTTTTCTTGCTGGACAGTTAGGATTAGCTTTGTTAGGTTTTGATCAGAATATGCTGTCTGCTTCTTAGTTATCCTGTGAGTGGAGTTATCGTCCCTAGTTTGTGAAGCATGGAAATCTCTTTGCTGTATTTGGGCTATTTAACTACAGCATTAACAAATGTTAAGCTTCATAAAAAAAAAAAAAATAAAATTAAGCAGACATAATCATCTCCAGTAACTCTGTCTCTTTACTGACTGCTGGGAAACAACCTGCCTCCTCCTGCTACCCCACCCCAAATTTCTTGTTTATGGCTTTAACCAAGATGTCATTGCTGCAGTGTTTCCCCTGGCAAGGTGTAGCACCTCTCCTGTGTCCTCTGTCAACTATCCTTCCTTTCTAATTAAAGACTGCATTTTATGCCCTTTTCCTTTTGACCTCCCTGCTGCTCCTGAAATTAGTGCTTAATGGACATCAGTTGGAAAGCCTATTGTGAACTGTTCTTCAGAGTTCTCCTACGGAGGATCTGTTGTGGGAGCCTGTTTATAAAAGAGCAAGATAGGTGCATCAGTTTCAAAGCTGGTTTGGTTGGGGGTGATGTATCAAACAAAAACTTCTGGTTTAAAGTTACACTACATTCTTAAGAATTACAAAGCAAGATTTTCTTCCAAGTATTTTTTTTATTTTTAATTGTGAAGTTTGCTTAGATTTTGGTCTTTGGTATTCATAATTATATTAAAACAAAAGCAGAATTTTATTTTCATACTGTAACGCGTCATAAATTACCTAAGTAATATATCTGTATATTCTAGAGTGCTATAAATTTGAAAATCTCTCACCATTACGATATTGTTTTGTATCACATTTGATAGCTGTGTCTAATGTCTGGAGATGTTAAATGCAATGCTGTGTTTTGAAAAGTCATACTGCCTCATACAAATATGCAGAGTAACCCTGGAAGCATTCTTATTTGAAATGCAAAGTTTCTGTGTAAGGGAGTGGTGTCCTGGATTCTGCTGTAGTTGCTATGAACAGGGAATTTGGGGTGTGCATCTTGTGACTTTATTCTGTTTTTAATCCTTTACAGAATTAAAAAACATATCTGGCCTATCGTACCTGATCCATCCAAGAGTAATATTGCTCAGTGGTCTCCTCAAGTTCCAGCTAAGGTAATACTCACCTTTCTGCATCCTATATCTTCCTAGCATGCAAGGTTTCAGATAAACTAACCAGTGGGAGACTTCTGTCTTCTAGCAAACATAGATTTCAAGGAAAAACCTGAATATTAAGTTTCATTGACATTATTATACAAATGGTTAGAAGCCTTTATTGCATCTGTAGATTCAGCATTAGCTGAATCTACAGATTAGCACAAATTCAAAGTCTAGTATGGGCTTTAAAGTTGTGAATTACATTCAGTTTACTAGTTGAAAGGGTCAAGTACTCATTTCCTTGCTGTTCCATGGGAGATTGGTATTAAGTAAACAACTTGTGATTCCCATTCTTAAAACCCTCAAGTGACTTGTTTGCTTCACTAAAGTTCAGTCAAGAATGAGAGAGAAGACTATAAACAGTTCCTCATGAATATGAAAAGATGGCAGCAAAATTTATGTGACATGTGGGGTGAGTGACCAGGCAAATTCTATTCAACAAATTAGCCTTTCTTGTGGCAAATTTCTGTGAAGTATTCTGATTTTGGGTACATTGTTTGAAGCGATGTGTGATTCTCAGTACAGAATGTTCCTGTGCTGCACAGCAAATGCTTCTGTGTCTACAGCTCTGAAGAATAATTAAAATGAGAGCAAAGATTTGCTCACACATCCACTATGATTTTAGAATAGTCACATAGTTAAGGCTCTGTATTGGAAACAAAGCTGTATCCTTCATTTTTTAACTTGTGCTTTGGAGACATTGCCAGACTTTGTAAAGAGAAGACTTAAATGAAGAAATTCAAAGGCATTATGAATAAAAATTCATATATTTGAGGCTTTTGATTTTTAACATAACCTTCCTCTTAGGTGACATACATCTCTTTCTTTCAGCATAACTTTAATTCCAAAGATCAGATGTCCCCAGAAGGCAGCCTTACAGATGTAAGCATTGTAGAAATAGAAGCTGATGACAAGAAGTCTTTTTCAGAACAAGATCTAAAACCCTTTGACTTGCTTAAAAAAGAAAAAAGTACTTCAGAAGGGCACAGCAGTGGTATTGGAGGATCCTCGTGCATGTCTTCTCCTAGGCAAAGCGTCTCTGACAGCGATGAAGGTGAAACAACACAGAACACTTCAAGCACTGTACAGTATTCGACTGTAGTGCTTAATGGCTACAGAGACCAGACACCTGTACAAGTCTTTTCAAGGTCTGAGTCAACTCAGCCACTGCTAGATTCAGAAGAGAGATCAGAGGATCATGCTGGAGGAGCTGAGAGTACAGCACAGAGGCAGCAGTATTTCAGACAAAATGGTGGTCAGGATGAAACCAACACAGACAGGCCATGCTTTGAAAGAACAAAGCAGATTACTCATGCTAATGAGGGAGATCTTGTTGGATTTGTTCAACTGCAGATCTCAGGTCAGAGTTCACAGCCATTGGGCCTTGGGATGGAAAAAAATACCCAGGAAGCTGCTCTATCAAATGTTTTACAGACATGTACTGAAGGACAAGCTGTGAGACCTGAAACAGTGGAAGAAAATCCACTGTCAGTAGATGAAATGCCAAAAAGTTACCTCCCACAGACTGTGAGACAAGGGGGCTATATGCCTCAGTGAGAGAAAAGACTGGCTCTGTTTAGGCCTTCATTAGTGCCTGTTCACATTTTCCCCTGTGTTTCTGATAAAGTAAGCTAGGTATTTTTATCTTCCTGCAGATAGAAAAACTGAAATTAAGTGAAGAGTAATTTGACAAAATACAGTAAGGACTGTTTCTGTGGAAAATTTCCAGTCCAGACCTACTGGAGGTTTACTTTTATGCACTACATAAAACCTTACATCTGGGTAACTGAATGAGCCTTTGTGCTACATTGGGTGTTGTGTATCTCTTCATAACAGAATTTCACATGATTGAAAAGGTAAAGTTTTAAATATCCACATCAGCCAATAGACTTCCCAGAGGAAACACTTCTATGCGTGACAGTGTACAAGCCTAAAAAGCCAGCTCTAGTTGCATAGTGCAGCTTTGTGCAAAAGTAAGACTGAAGCTCAGTATTCTGACATGGAAGAATACTTGTATGATACACTTTTCAATAACTTAATTGACTTACTGAATTTTGACTTGGCCCAGTGCCTCAATTTTCAGCTTACCAGACCTGCCAATCATTTTCAGCCCTGTTTAAAAACCATAAAAATTAAACAGAACTTGCTATGGTGTACAAATAGGAAAACACCGAGATTGCCTGAATCTAAATGCTACTGTAGTAATCTATACTTTACCTACATTTAGATGTGTGTACACATGAACGACTGAGTAATTTGGCCTAAAAAATGTGCCTTGCAACTTGACGCACAGCAATTCAGTCTCAAAAGTGTGGAAATCAAATGACAACACAGATCAGCGGTTACTTAAAGGCTTTGTACCCCAATCACTGTTTGATTATATAAAACTTCTGTGGTCATATATGCCTTTGTTTAATAAGTGCACCTTTGCTGTGTACAGCTCAAGTAACAAGCTGTAAGCTTTTACCATTTTTCTGACTGCTCAGGAGAAAGGAAATATGACCTTCCTCCTGACAGACTGCAGCTATTAGTGTGCTGTAACCTCACTGCTAATACTGCAGGACGTCCTGGAAACTGAAGGCAGCCAAAGCATTGAAGTCATTGATGGTCTTGGAACTAAAACCAGAACCTGTACTCTGAATTTGAACTTTGCTGGTAGCACACTTAAGTGGTTGTTAAACTTGTTTCCTTTTCTATTGGCAATCATGAGCCACAAAACACACTTCAGTGGTTGTTCCTTACTTTATTCTTAATGTCTCACTTTTTCCCTGCTCATACAGTTTACATTTTTTTGAGGAAGCTACCTTTCTTAGAAACGTCCTCTACTAGTGTTTAAAAAAAATTTAAATTATGTGACAATAAACCCCTTCTCCAGCGATAAGCAGAAATTTTATGGCACTCTTAAAGATTTTTTTAAAAATTAATTTTAAATCTAATATAGGCTAGCTAGCTTTCTAATCTGACACTAATAAAACTGTATTTCAAAACACTAAATGCTGTTTTGTGAGACTAAAACAAGTGTTTTATTTCTCCTTCAGCAAAATAACTATGTATTTAAGACCTGAAACCTTTTGTGCTGTGACCTCTGGTACTGCTGTTCTGTAGAGCACTTGCTAAAAGCCCTTGAAATGCCTGTGTCAGTATCTTCCCTTGTCTGCCAGATTGCATGAAAAGATGGGTATACATGTAAATGTCCACGTCTTTTGCTTTTGTTATGACGAAATCAAGTGCAAGAGTAAATTTGTAGGATTACCTCTCAAAGTTTGGAATATTTAAAACAGATAAAGAATGCAGAATCTTTAACATTTCAGTATTCCACAGTTCCTTTCTCTTGACAGTATTTTTCTGTGTCTAGGCACTTTTTTTTTAGGCTATGTTGCAGCTTACTCTAGTTACACCTTTCTTCAGACCTTTTTCTTCCTTTCCCCACTGCACCTCAGCACCTTCAAACTCCCTCCTAGGGCGCAAAGGCATAATGAAAACTGCTCTCATGAGACAGCAGACACCATCTTTGGTTTTTCAGAGGCTGAAGGAGCATTCCTTTTTCAGAACACATTTATTCTTGGAAAAAATAGCAGTTACTTTACTGGGGAAGGAGTTATCTTCTCTATGCAAACTTCACAGTGACTGTAGAAGCCACAGGTAAAAGGGAAGAGTCTCTGTTGAGCAGTGTGCATGCTTATTAGAACTGCATTTAATCCATCTTCTCCTGAAATGCTATAGGCCACAACCTGCCTACGTAGTCTAAACAGTGCTGCAGAGGTCTGGATGTTTTCAAAAACATGTTCATGATTTGTTTTAAATTATGTTTTTGTGATTCAGTAATAGTAACTTTTGATAGCATATGTTATTTGAGGGAGACTGTCGGGTATTCAGTAAGTTGCTATTTGTCTTTCTGTAAAGGGATGGTATTTTCTTCTCAGTTGCTGTTAATCATGGGCCATGCAAGACTTAATTGATGTTAAACAGCAGCAAGATTCTGAGTTTTAAAGTCTCTGCTAACAAGAGTTCTGGCCTGTCATTTCTGGTATCTTTCACTGTTGTTTATGGACCAGTGGTAATAAACTCGAAGAACTGAATGGGTCCTGGACAAAGTTCTGGCTGGCTGGTAGTGACATACTCTCTTTTGAGGTAGTGCATTTATCTAGGGCTAAAATACTGAAGCCTAAGCAGGAGCTCATGGTGGGTGAACAGCTTGTAGAAGCCACAATACATACAAATAACAGGTTTACAGCTAGTTCATAAACCTGCGTGCCAAATATATCATGCAGTGTTCAGGGTTTAACAAGATTTTGTACTTTGGACTGTATCAAACAGTTGCATACAGGTTTTTAAGAGTATCTGCAGTGTAATTGTAGCAATCCACTGAAATTTTTGGAGTTGACCCTAACATAATAATTAAATAAAAAGTTTTTTCCCTCCTCCACACCCTCCCCCCACAATGGCTAGTGGTGCACATAAAATGAAGGCATTATTAAAGTCATGTTTCAGTGTAGACACTTTCATGTCCATCTTGATTTCTGGACTGGAATTTTTCAGGCACAGGTGAAAGAATAGTTGTAAGGACTTTTAATTTGAGGGTGGGGAAGGGAGGCTAGTAGAAATATATTAGTATATTGAATAAACCTCTTAAATGCAGGCTGGTTAATGTTCTCTGTTTACAAGAGAAGTGAATATATTACCTTTGTAGCTCTATTGTGGTGGTCCTGTTAGACCAGGAGTTGTTTGGTTATGTTTCCTGGAGTGTGTTGGCTCACTTTAAGGGCAGATAGTCTAGGAATATCCTCTCCTGCTGTAGTGAAAGTCATGGGATTGTTTCATACATGCTACTGCAGAAAATTAAGCTGCCTGTTACGCCTTAACATGGCAGTACAAGCACAGCAGAAGAAAAAAATTTTTAAACTTTGTTCTGGAGAGTTTATGACAAATATGTGCTTGTCTGGTACTGAAGCCTAGCAAAAACTGGAAAAAACTTTGGCCCTGGGAGGATGAGGGAGTTTGCATGCTTGGGCTGAGTCCCATTCTTGGACTCCGGAGAAGATCCATCACCTGCATGGGAAATTCAGCTTTGTAAATCATGATCTTTATCAAGTGGTTAAAACACACATCAGTATGCCCAGTAGGTGGTGATCACCATGCTAATTTAAGTAACTGTTTAATTAGAGCCAGGTCTCAGGTACCCAAGATGGGCATCAGTGTATGCTGCTATGGAATTGACTTCTCAGTGGGATCTGAAACTCCAAAGACTCTCAGATTATTAATAGTCTGCCCCACTCCAGGACATACACATTTTACATTGTCATTTGTATGCATTAAATGGGACTAAATACACTAGTTTATTTTCCCCACTAGACAGTGGTTGTAGTTGAGGTTAACTGTCCTTTGAATGCATTCCTTTAACTGTGTTAAAAAATTCTAGACTAATTGACTGTAAGAGTTCATTAATCCCCATAATCCCCCAAACCTCTTGTCTGTCTGCAAGGATAGAGACATATAACCATTATAAATTCCAGGATTCACTTGTAATGTTATACAGGAGAAGTTTATGTAAAAATGTTGAGTCTTCTGTCATGAAACAGCTGTTAGGGAATTGCAGCCAACCCAAGTCTTCAGCTTTGCTTTTGATCCAGAAAACTGCAGTAAAGTCAAGGTATAAGTGCAAAAGTCTGGAGCAGGTTGAAATTAAGTAACTTGCATTGGACTCATGAATTTCTATTTCTCTTCCTTTAAAGTGAAAGCATCAGTAAAGCAAACAAACAAACAAAAAAGCTAAAAACCATGCATATTTGCTTTCACTGTTGTTTCCTTTGTAGGACTTGTGCAATCTGAGCCATTCTTGAAAATAAAAGCAGTGCTGACTTAATGCACAGGGATGCATTTCTAAGGCCACAGGATTTGATAAAACAAACCTAAAAATAATAATGAAGGGCCAGCTTTCAACAATTGTCTGCTTCCCTGCCTCTTGACTGTAGTGCAGAGAGAGGGTGGGCAGCAAGTACCTCCCGGAATGCAGCCTTAGCCAGTGCTTGTATTTATTTGCAAAGACAACCTGAAGGGGATATATGCAATAATGTCATTGCTACTCTGCAGAAGCACACTTCTGTAACAATAGATGAAAAACACTTATGGCACAACTGTTGACTGATGGCTGGAAAGCTCCACATCCACATCCTCCTGCTCAGACTTAAGTTTGTCAGCTGTTCTTCTCTGGGGATCATGGGCGTGGCAGATGGGCATTCTCTGCAGTGTGAAACTAGTAACACCTATCACTTTCCATCATCAAAGCACATTTGTTAATGGATCCAGTCAACTTGCCGTGTTTTTTTTAATACACCAGTTTTGTTTACAGTGTCACATATAGCCTGACACTTTGATACAGCCAGGGATTGTCTAGTAACCAATTGCTTTTATTTGGGGATAAGAAGTTACTGGTCACCCAGTTTGCTGTGCCAATATATGCATCTAGGTGAGCGGAGGTGTGCGACACTGGAACAGATTTACCAACAAGGAAAGTGCCTTGATGCTGGATTGGATGGCTAGTGAATGTAAACATTAAGTTAAATTTTGCTGTGTACTTAAACTAAGTATGGCTCATTAAGCTAGTGGTAATTTGAATGCCAGCTTTAAAGGGCTTGCGTACTCTGGCCAGAGGTTAAACTTGTAAATTGCTGCATAAGCTGTCTCTGTATGGAAATGTGTTTTAATACCTGTTCACTGTCTTTATTCTTTTGCAAGCTGCATGTGTATTGTCATATAAAATCTGCTTTCTACAATTTATTTTTATGGTTGGTTTTGAATGTCTTCCTCTTTGTTACTGGAGCCTGAATGTTGCATTTCTGTAGTACATAATATGCAGAAAGAAAACAAAACAAAATTCCATACTTACCTTGTGTGCTGGAGTCGATGTTTTGTAAGGCTGACCAGGTAGTAACCACAGAAGAAGAGTCTGGGCTGCTTCCTGGAATGCAAAAACAGAGATGCATGACCATGACATTTCTGGATAAAAGGCTACCTCATCAGCAGCAGGTGAATGGTCTTTAGTCCTGCCTTCATAATTGCTCCTGGAAACAGATAATACTCTACCTATGTAGAGTACCTCAGTTCCATGAAAGGCATCACTGACCTCTGTCTGGTACTGCTCTCAGTCTCATCTGGGTTTAGTTCTTTTGTTTCTCATGGGTGGAGGATCCTCACAGATTTGTATCTCGGTACTGAAAAGTACTGACATTATCACAGCTCTGAAAAAGCAGAGGTGGGTCTTCAAAGGCTGGTCACCTTCACAGAAGGCTTTAAGGTGGGCAGCTGGGGAAAAGCTGCTGCTCCTTCCTGACTGAAGTCCTCATTTGAAGAGACAGACCCCTATAAAGCTGAGTGGGCACTGGGGTGAGGAAGGGGGCGTTCCATTATATGTCATGGGGAATTACTAGTGCCGCAGAAGAGCCATCCCAGGCATATTAATGCTTGGTGGTGTTTAGATGCAAAAATTTCTTTACCAAAATGTGGGTTTACTGTACAGTAGTTCACTGACCACTGTTTCACATAAGGCCCTTCATTTTTCTAGAGAGGTGTAACATTTTTGTGTCTCCTTCTTCCCTGTGCTCACAGCTGATGAGCATTGGTGCAGTTGAGCTCCACCAGTGCAGGACAGTGCATGCAGAAGAGGAGGCAGCAGTTTGTCTTTTACAGGCAGCTCCCCTGCTGCCAGAGCAAGACAGGAAGCACATACTTGTGCAGTGTACACGCAGAGCACCAAGAACAGCTCGGTTCCTGGAAGGAAACAGTTCCTTATCCCCGTGGCAGGGGCAAGCAGTCTGCAGCACAGAAGCAGGAGGTGTGCCTAACCACATTCTACCTTTGAACTAGCCTAGGTCTGTCCAGCCAGGATTGGCACTGGACAGCACCACAGCAACTCTGAGAGGTGCCAGCCCTGCCCAGCACTGGGCAAGGTGGTTGCAGTGCAGCTGGGGGATCTCTGCTTTGTTCTGACCAGTGATAATCACAGGAACACTGGACTTACCTGTAAAACCATCTTACATGTATTTTCCAGTCATCTGTGCTATTCATGGCAGGGTGATCCAGTGCCTTACTGACTTCCCAGCAGGCTCCATCTACACGAAGTAACTAGCAGAGCCAAAATATTCCTCCCACTCCCTACGAAATAGCTAGGAAATTCCGGGATCAGCCAAGGAGGCTGAGCAGTAGTGACCCAACCGGGAGCTGCAGTACGCCTTTCCCAATGAGTAATCTGACTCCAGGCTTGCCTGGAAATGGAAGCGTACTTGCACTGGTGTACTAGCCCGGGCTTTCCTTTTGTGGCGGCTCCTGAGTCACACAGCCAGCCTGGGCTCTGAGCTGGGTCAGGGGCCAGCAACAGGTTTCAGTGAGAGGACAGCTCTGCAGGAGCCACACAGCTCCAGCAGCTCTCAGCTGGTCCTCTTCTGCTGCTGGCACAGCCTGTTACCCGAGTGCAGTGTCTGTCACGCAGCAGGTTCTGGGCACCAGAATCCCAAATAAAGCTACTTAGAGAATGTCCCATAGGGCTGTGAGTTTCTGGGACACTGTGTCCAGGATGCAGCTGAGCAGACACGTGCTGGGACCAGCGAGGGAGGGAGCACCATGGTGTTGGGGCAGTGGGGCAGCAGCTGGGGACGTGCTGCAGATCCGCTGCTCTCGGCAGCACAGCACAGCCTCTCCTGGCCTCTCACGGTGCTGCTGGTGAGCAGAGCAGCTGTGCCCTGGCTGCTCCAGGGCCACCAAGACCGAACCAGGACAGGGCAGCACATGTTGCTTGTAAAGCTGGCAGGCTGACTGCTCCAGCACTAGCTACTGAATGTTTTTAATATTGATTTTCTGGAGGTTTAGCAAGTCCCCTTGGTTTTTCTTCCTCTCCTTTTGTGAGCAAAAGCCCTTGTTAAGATTTTCCATCCCCCGCACTCCTGAGTCATAAATCCAGGTCAGCGGCAGGCTCAGCACCGGCCTGTGGCCAAGCAGGTCAGTATCCCAGAGCCCACTTGGCACACCATCCCCCCAGATGGGGCCTCACAATAGCCAGCTCACATCAAACAGGCCCCAATTACCGGTTCCTTGTCCCCACGGGCTCATAGACGTGCTGGGGTTTGCTGACAGGAAACCTGTTCTCATGCACTGCTGCAGCCTGAATCACCGCCCTGCTCTGCCCAGATAAGTAATTACCACTGAGCCAAGTGCTTTGGGAAAAATCCACGAGGCTCCTGAAGACCATTTCTGGACTAAACCTGTGGCAGAACATCTCTTCCTGCTTGAAGAGATTCAGCTTTTTCCCATTTTGAGGAGACGTGTCATCAGCAAAAGAACATGCATGGCTGCACGAGCACCAAAGACCCACGGGGACCACCCCACCATGCATGCTGCATCTCCCCACCATCACTCAGGACTCGGTTGTGGATGAGGCAAGGGTGCTATTTTGGTACTAAGGTAACTTTCCTAAATAGAGTCACTGAAATAAACTTTAAAACATGCCCTGAGTGTCCTTTTATCATGTATTACATGAAACTTGCCGTGTTCAGCCAGACACCTGAAGAGTGTCCCTACTTCCCTCCCCACCTTCTTCTCTCAGACACAAGAGCTTGACACAAATAGTCCCAGGGTAATAGCAGATGACTCCAGAGCCTGCTCAGGGCTCAGTTCTTTTAGCACTCATTATGCTCCATTTGCTGCATGTGTTTTTATTTCTCTGTCTGCTAGGTATCTTCCTTAAGTGAAGCTATCAACATTTTTGCATGTGTCAGAAGGCCTCTCCATATTATGTATTTATATAAATTAATGCCAGTTAGGATAGATAATGCATAGATACACATCTGTAAATGGAGGAAAGTTGAATCATTTCATGAGCTTAAAGAATAAGGGATCTTGTATCAGCCTTTAAAATTAGGTTGACTGTAATGCAGGGAAAAGGTCAGACTCCGGGGGAGTGCAGCATGTGGAGTAACTTAAATAAAAATGTTAGCATAGAAGCACCAAAAATAAACAAACACTGACAGAGTACAAATTCCTTTAAAGGCAGTGAAACTCAGACTTGGCCACAAAAACTCGAGTAAACAGAGATACCTTGCACAACCATGTGCCTCCAGAGAGAAACTCTAGTTAGCCCTATCATTAAAGAAAAAATCAATCCTTACAAAATTAAACCTCAGTCATAGGAGCAGAACAACCACAAGCTGGAGACAATGCATCCAAGAATTTATCTGTGGACATGGAAACAAAAGAACAACCCAAGTCACCACAAAACAAGCAGGGGCATGTGAGGGATTTACCCGTACAGCTGAGTTCCTATCCATATTAGACACAGCACTGCCAGCTCACTTCCTGAGACATGAGCTACCTTGGTCCTACCTTAGTTCAGGAGCCTGGTTGTGAAAAATGAGGTTCACTCACCTGATAAATTTTAAAAGGTGTAATATAAACAAAAAGAGAATAGGAGACAAAGATAATAAAGCAAAGGGTTAAAATGCCTGGGTGCTTGGCTCTCTGCCAAGAGCACACCTGGTGTTTTGGAAACACCCTTTATATACCATCCCTGCTACATGGATTTAGCTTTTCCAGGAACTTTTTTTTTTTTTTTTTTTTTTGCATGGTCATTCCTTGGGCCCACCTTTTTAGAGCATGTGCTCTTCAAGTTTGATTTCCCTTTTATCATCTTTTTATTTGGGCTGGGTGGTCAGCATCGATAGCAAGGTTGAATAGCCTGGACCCCATCCATGTGTTCACTGGAGGTTGTTTAGTACAGACAGGATATAGCCCTAACATCCAAAATTCTTGACCTATGCCTGCAAACTTTTTAGGTACTAGCAGGAGAAAAAAGAAAAAGACATAGCAAAAGCTATTCTAACATATATTCATCTTAATACTTGCAAAAAGCCAATATCACAATATGTATTCATAACATGGTCCATATCTACAAACTAGCAGATCTATTAATAAACCCAAGGCTTAGGTAATTTCACAGCACTTTGTTTGGTAGTTTTGCATCGAGACAGCGAGGCTGGGGAAGTGGGAATATGGGCAAAAAAGGTAAAAAGGGATGGGAGCAGAGGATGGGGGCAACCCCTATTCGAGCTCAAGCATCTCTTCTCAGTCTCACCATACTGCATCAGGAGATGGAATGCACAGCTTCTTACCAGGATTGTTCTTTACCTAATAAAGACAGTACTTAGAGAACCAGCCCTCTGTGTTGGAAGAAAGGTGAAAAATAGCAAAATCTAAACTCCTGTGTTACTTTTCAACTAAAATGATTCAACACTCCCCTGCTTTCTTCCTTGCAGATCAGATGTTGGGTAACCTTGTCTGGTCCAAAAACTGTAGACACCTTTCATCAGAAGTGTAAAAAGCAATTAAGCTCTCCAGAAAATAAAAGCAAAAGCAGAAGAAAGATGCAGTCCCTGAAGACAAACAGTAGTTCAAGCCTCTTTGTGAGCCAAGCTATAAAATAGCTAGAGATGAAAGCAAATGCATGGAGCATGTTTGAAGGAGGTGTGAAGTCATGGGAGAGAGAAGCAGGCAGCAAAGGCAGCAACCCATGAACACATGGCTGGGTATGAGCCATGTGTTCATGAACACATGAACACTGGGTATGAGCATTTCTGGGCAGTATGCTAGTAACAAAAAAGCTTTACATTCAAAGCAAAGACACCACCCCCCACTGTTCAAACCTTTCTGTGTTCAGAGGATTTAGAAACAGATTTTTAATAATAAAAAAATCTGTAGCTCATAAACTATTGATAGTGTAGGCATAAATTCCT